TCTATACTCATGCAGCTCATTCCAAGGCCGGAAAAAAGAGGAGAGATAGAGTATGGTAACAACTCTTTGAAAAAACAAAGTTGATAGCAATCTGTGAGATCCCCTGGTCTAGGGTTACAGAAGAAGACCACAATGACGATGAAAGCAGAGAGGCCATAGTTCTCCTTTCCTATTTAATATTTTTGTGAATGACCTAGTTACATGTTTTTTGTGCTGTGCAGCTGTGCGAAATTTGCTGATAATCTCAAATTTTGGAGATCTGTTGAAAGTATTTAAAATCAGAAACTGCTTCAGGACTTAAATTGTTTGGTAAAGTGGTGCCAAATAAATAAGCTATATTTGAATATCAACAATTGCAATTTTATAAGTTTTTCTAGAAAAACTACTAGGTTCCAGTCTAGTTACTTTATCGATAACCAGTCAATAAAACACATCTACAGTAACATATCTTGGTGTAATTTTCAATGAGAAATTAACTTTTGTCAATCATATTCATTCTACATCAATTAGGGGGACAAAGGTGCTGGGCTTTATTACTAGAAATTCTAGTTTTTTCTCCATTGCAGCCACAAGAATGGTCTATTGTTCTTTGGTCAAGTATATGCTGGAGTAATGTTCAGCCATATGGTCTCCTTATAAACTACATGAAAAAAACCTACTGGACTAAAATTAAAAAAACTATCCAAATATAAACCAACATCTCAACAAGTTTCCTAAATAATATAGAATGGAAAAATTCACAATTTATTCTCTGAAAATTACTTTAATTTAGACTTGAAGAAATAATACTACTGCCTATACATATAATTAATTTGTAAATAGATTTAGGCAAATTTATATCACCATAATTAGGCCAATATTATTATATGCAGGAGAAACAAAGACAGTGGTCAAAAAAGGTGAAGAAGACTTAAGAATAGTGAAGAGATAGATTATAAGAGCCATACTGGGACCAATCAGAACAGAGCAAAATGAATATAGACGCAGAACAAATGCAGAGACTAAGGAAGACTTTATGACTAAAATAAAGCATTGTTGCGTTAGGTGGTTAGGTCACATTTGGCTAGCATGAGATGAAGCAGTGAGTTACACAGTGATAGAATGGAATCCAGGAGGTAGAAAGAGAAGGGGAAGACCAAGATCAAAGTGGCTGCAAAATGTTGATGAAGACCTCCAAAGGGTAGTAGTCAGATAATGGAGAGGAAAAAATATAGCGTCAAGAAGATAACATAAATAAAAGGGACTGATCCACCCAAGAAATATCATCTAGAGAGCATTTGCAGTTTAACCCCACGCTGGGGTGTATAGCCATTATATATAAATAGATTTAGGTCATTGGCCATGTGGCAAAATGATTTAAAAAAATATTTAAGCTTGTAGTATCATATTTTTAATATTGATTTATGATTTTAAGTTGTAAATAAAATAAAGCAGAAGATTTTACACTTTTATTGCTTAATCCTAACAATAATTATAGATTTTATGAAAACTCATCTTTTATATTGTCCCTAACATCATTTTTAATTTTAGATATGTACTGCCTTTTCATTTCAAAAACAATTATTCCAAGTGCTGTACCTACATTTAAACTATCAACATTATTTCCAAGTGGTATATTAATTCTAACTCCATTTAAATTTGAAACTAAACTATAAGAGTTTAAGCTAATACCCTCAGTTTCACCTCCCACAATAAGAACATTATGTTCATTTGGATTAAACTTTAGTCCATAATAAGGTACAATAGGAATAGACTCTAATAAAGAGGACAATAGTTTTTTATCATAATTTTCATCAATAGTGGTCATTGATATAACTCTATTATCAGCAATAAAGAAGTTGCAGTTTGGAGGCAGATCTTCCATAATAGTATCCATGTTAACTTTTTTCTTAATTCTAAGTTTAAAATGTGCTCCACATGCACTTCTCAGTACTTTTGAATCCCAAACATTAACACACCCCTTTGTTAAAAGCACTTGTTCACATCCAACTCCACTACTAGTCCTTAAAATAGCACCTAAATTATCTGCTTCCCTAATATTGTCACAAACAATTGTTAATGGAAGAGCACCATTTGATACACTGTGGGATTCAATATCAGGAATTTTAAATATTCCCATTATACCAGGACATGTTGTTAAATCCGACCACATCTGCATTTCTTTTAAAGGCATTTTATATAATTTTGCTCCTATTTTAGGAATGGATGGTTTTAAATATTCTACTTCATCAAATCTACTAAACAAAATGTATTTTAGTTTGCATTTGGCATCAAGGCATCTTTTATTAACCTCTTCCCTTCCAGCAGCATAAGGTCTCTTTTATCTCTTTCCTTGTTTGATTTTATTTCTGTCAATAATTGACTTATCCTAGGATCATTATTCTTCATTTTCGTGTAAATAAAATCACCATTTTCATCTGTGGTAGTTTCTAACATATCCATTGTAATTTTAGGAGACATTCTTTTCTTTGAAATTGTAATAGGCTCTATATCTTTTGGCCTGGTATTTTCTGTTGATTTATTTTTGAAATAATTCCCAGACCATTCAACACCAAGTTTACCCTTTGGTGAATGTTTATCTGCTTCTTCATCATATTCTTCAGCAGGAATTAGTTTGGCAGGCTTACGACTAGACCACCTCGCTAAACATCGAGACTGTTGGTTTATGCTTAAAAACGTATCAGAAAATACCAGAATTTTAAGTTTGTTAAACATTTTATTCTCAAATATTTTTTCTCTTTATTGCGGCACTGATTATAAATAAAATATAAACGAGGATTTTGTTGGTTATGTTAAATATTCACATTATCATCTTCTTTTACTATTACTATGATTTAGTCTACAGTCTACATTCATATTCATTCCAAATATAGGATATTTTGACATACTCATTATAGACGCGTATCTGTTAATAAAGTAGTTTAATATCTTTTTAACACAAATTTCCTATTATATGCTATACCTATCCATATTAGTAGTTCAAATAAACTAATTTTGCGCGACTTTTGCAGAAAAAAGAAGAATATTCAGAAATAATGGGAGTGTATATTCAGTAACTGGCTCTAGAAGATATATTTCACGATGATATTTGAAAAACGATTAATGGAATAAAAAATTTAAAAATAAAGATTTAAATATTTATTTTAATTGATGCAGTTTAATTTTATTGATAAACTACATGTTAATAAACGTTTTTATAATATTTTATTTACTTTAAGAAGATATTGAAAGTTCGGCAACATGGCGACTGCATCTAGTCACAGCACACTTCCACCTAGCAGTGCCAGTCCGATCATAAAGAGTAAAACGACGATTGGCGCCTTGCCTAGTGTCAGGGTGCGTAACTATTCATATACATGATAGTAAATTTAAAATGCACGCAAAACTACATAGGAGTTGTGCCTCTGCTAGCCTAGGATTGTTGATAGCTCATTTTAAAGTAAGGGAAAATCGATATAAACTTAAAATAAAAAAAAAACCTTATTTTATACGATACGTATATATTTTCATTTTTTATTATACTATTTTAAGTTTTCTTGTTTATGTTGAGGTTATATTTTTATTTCCCATTACATTGAAATGCCAAAGTGGTTAAAAAATTAAAGAATACAATATAGAATATCTTTATTTATAAAAATGTTACAAGCAAAGTGCAGCATAATTCAGTGTTCTTAATATTGAGAACTTGTCAGTATTTAAATAATTATTGTTTTGTTATTCTAATGTCAGTTTTACGTGAATAAAGCCTGGTTTTAGTTTTCTTACCTGGTCGTGGTAAAAAACTCGGAACAGCTGTTCTTTTATGTCCCTATGTCCAACTGTCGCTTGTATCCTCCTATTTAAAATGACTAGCACATACATGAAAATTCTTATAATAAATAGTTTCTGTCTTCTCTAATTAAGGGCTCTTAGCTTTCACCCATTTATCAAACGTATATCATGTTCGTGTTTCTATTGTTATACCATGTATTGTAAAATTATATTATATCAAATCTATTTTATAATCAGAGATTTGAAATATATATAATTTTATTGCACACTCCTATCTCCCATCTTTTAATTTATCGGTGGGTTCAATAGTTATACCACAGAATAATAAACAATGTTATACCATGTATTTGTGTTCGATTCCATTGTGCCTTTTTGCACTATTTATAATAAAACAAAACCAAATAAAAATAAGGAGTTATAAATAATCTTAATCATAATATTATGGTTATAAAATATTCTCTGCTCTCAAAGGAAGAGTTGTTTGATTGTTTGATTTTGAATGACGACAAAGACAAAGTGAAAACAAGGAAACACTTGCACGAGCGTGAGGTAAGATAATTTCCAATGACGTTTATATATTATACGTCATTGATAATTTCTTACCAAATCTTACCTCCATACACACAGGGACGAGCTTAGCTGTGCCGCCAAAACGGAAGGGGTGCTCAACTAAAAACGTACGTTTACAGCTCTCTTCAGCTATGATCCAATCTGAAGTTGCCTAGACCACAACACAGAATAATAAACAATCAGAAGGGCCACTCTCAGATGCCGCCTTTGAAGTTTTTCAGCACACGCGCCATGTTTTAGGAGGACACAAACATATGATTTGTGAGGTTATGCAATTGTTTACATTTATGTTTAATTATATTATATTATGTTAATATATTTAAAACTGTTAATATAATTGTATAGTATGTCTATGATTGCCGTAAGTCAAATAAACCTGGTTTTTTTCCATGCACACCACATAAACAACACTGGTTCCCTTTAAAATCCTCGTAAAACATGGAGGAACGTCTGCGCGAAGGAGATGCGCGTACTTAATTTTCCGTGGAGAGTGGGCATTCTGTTTGTTTATTATTCTGTGCCACAACACTAGTGTCTAGAGCCTGACCCACTGTTCTGTGCAGACTTGCGCAGTTCATTTGTATTCTCATCTGAATGTGACAATGAGGTTTATGTGTATTGTTGGTTGCATAAGAAAAGCTCTAAAATGAATATAATAGCAAATCAAAATTAAAGGTTTTTTAAAATAGGTTTAAAAAGTATTTTAAAAAATACTTTTTGCGCATTTTTTCCAATAAAAATTTGTTATTTTATATACAGGATGTTGAGTGATGTTATATATCAATTACTATAATACCACCTTTCTTATTTTAAATGAAACATTGGTTAGGTATATTATAAATTTTTTGGATTATACACAAAATTCCCAGAACTTTGATAGATTGCATGTTATAGTTTTAATTAACTTATTTTAGGATACAGGGTGGTTAATGAATAGATCACTCTCTGCGTGTCTCCTTATGACTTTAAAAGGTTCTATACCTAATTTCAATAAAGAAGAGTGAGTTTATTTTCATATCTCAACTTGTTTTTAATAATGTATATAGTACTAGTACTCATATAGTATATATGTACCTAAATTCTTTTAAAATAGAGATTATGTCAAATAACTGAAACCTGCCTATATTTTTACCAGGTGTGAAATGGAATGTACATAAGTAGGTATCTTAAAGGCTATATATTTGAAAGTTAATATAGAAGGGATTGTGCCTTTAATACATTGTATAATAAAAACGGTTAGATAAAAGCATGGCAATCCATTATATTGATTAAGTTCTTTGTATTTTATATTGGATCAAATAACTAAATAATATACCTGGTGTTCCGTCTAAAATAATAAAGTTGGCATCAGTATTTACATGACATCACACTCTGAATAACACATTTTTATTGGAAACATATCCGCAACAAAAAATATTAAAAAAAAACAGAGCTTTTTGAGGAACTATTCATTATTTAATAAACAGATATTATAAACCTTATTAGATATTATAAACATATTCAGAAATGAATACAAATAAACTGCGCAAGTCTGCACAGAATAGTGGGTCAGGCTCTAGATACTAGTACCCACAACACAAACCATCGAGCAAAAAGATAAAAGAGGGAATGTAAAGGTAGTGAGGACAAAAATATTGTTAGACAGGAAGTGCTATCTTGAGAGGCCACTTTAAACAAGGATAGACAGTCTCTTTCCTTGTTTAAGAAGTCAAATTTAGTTTGGTTATGTTATTCTTTGTCCCAACTGTCACATGAAATTTTATTTATATTGAAGTTTTTTACCAATTGTGTCATTTTTAGACTATTATCGTTAATATTTAATTAAAACTTTCTTGTCTGAAAAATATTTTACAGTTATTGTTAACAAGTGTTGGAAAATTTAAATTTAGCGCCTTTGCATTTCCGGATATGCCCGCCATCAGAGGCCACTTTTTTGATCTCCTTTTCATAACGATTAGATTCCCTCTTTTATCTTTTTGCTCGATGACACAAACACAACACAAATAGAAGAAGACAAAACCAAAACAACAATAATAATTGTTTATAATAACAATAACGATTTATTTATATCATAATTAATAATTAATATTTACTATAAGACTTCAACCAGTATCCAGTATTAAATAATGATTTCGACAACTCAAGCTAATTTAAATATAAGCAACCATTTATCTAAGATCGAGACTACAGATATTACTACTTCAGACTTTCCATTTATTTGCCGGCTATGTGCAACAAAAGACGATAACTTAGAATTTTTTGAAGAGCCGATGCAGCTTATCTTTATAAATTTAACAAATTGTCAGGTATGACAATAATAATATCAGTAATTGTCTAGTATATTTAGATGCTGTAGAATTATACTTAAGATACAGAATGTTTTCTTTGTTTAAGATATTCTCCCAATTGTGTCACACTTATAAAAGTATTTATTATTTTCTTTTATTCTTTTTGGTGCTCATTACACAGTCATTTATCCTTTGAACTTTCATTATCCTATCTTAAATCTTACAACATCTTGTACTTCTGTTATAATTGAGTTATTTTGAAATATTGTATGTTGGAATTTTTGAGATTTTCTGGCTGTCATCCCTGTTCAGATTTCAGATTAATAACAATAATCAACTGAGGCTTTAGTTAGCTGAGTTTCCTACTAGTAGTAGTAATGAAGTAAACTTGGTACGTACTATACTTATTTGATTTTATTATGTTTCAGTTTGACCAAAATGACCATTTACCAAAAAATATCTGCCCTAATTGCAAGAATAAATTATATGAAATTAATTTATATATTGAAGGCATTAAAACAGTTTACAATATGCTTCAACATGCTTTATCATTGAAACTAGTTGACAAACATATAGACAGTGTATCAATTTATCATGATTCAAGCGATACTGACCTAAAAGAAGACACAGATCAACCTATTTGTGAAACCATAATAAAAAAGAAAAATTCTCCCTTAACTTGGAGCAGGAGAATTCCACTACCTGTCAATACTGCAATAAATCATTTATATCTTCAGGAGAACTCTCAAAACACATACAACAAAACAAAAGTTGTAAATCAAAGAGATTATTTTGTTCAATATGTGGAAAACACTTTAATTTTCAATATAAAAGAAAAGCTCATATAATGGCTGAACACTTGGGTGAGCTACCGTTCCAATGCAAAGTGTGTGGAAAGAAATTTAAATTCTACCAGAATCTTACCAGGCACGATAGATCTGCTCATAAAGGACTGACACCATACAAATGTGAAATTTGTGGTAAAGGTGAGTAAAAATATCCATCCATAAGTTTCATTCTCATTTAACTGCTTTATGCATGCTGTTTAAGTATATTGCTTTTGTTTCAATATTTTAACCAATTTCAATATGACAACATATATCTATGTATCAAAAAATAAAAGAAGTGCATATAAATAATATGGAGAAGACGTAGCATCTCAGAAGTCTTATCTTTAAAGAAATTGAAATGTCCCTGCTGCAGAGTACTTTTTTCAGTTTGTTGAAAGAATTTCTTGCCTGTCCTATTCATGCCTTAATATCTTCTGTGTACTCATTATTTTCGTTAATTATTGTACCCAGATATTTATATTTTTCAACTTTTTTAATTTGTTCTCCATGTATTGTTATGTTTTCTTGGCGCTGTTGGGCTTTTGTAATTACCATAAACTGTGTCTTTTTTATGTTTAGTGACAGCCCGTTTATTTCACTGAATTCTACCATTCATGTCAACCATTTGTTGTAAATCTTCAAGACATTCCAATAATAAAATAGTGTCATCGACAAACTGTATATTATTAATGGGTCGGTCATTTACTTTTATTCCCATAGTTAGTTCTTCTAGTGCTACCTGGATTATTTCCTTTGAATACAAATTGAACAAAGTAGGAGACAGGACACAGCCCTGCCTGACGCCCCTCTCGATCTGTATTCCATTTGAAAAGATGTTGTTCTCTTTTACCACAGCGATCTGATTATAATAGATAGCGCTAATGATCCTAATGTCTATCATATCCAAGTTTTTCTTTTCAAGTAATTCGATAAGACAGTTATGTCTGACCTTATCAAAGGCTTTGTTGTAATCCAAGAAACACATAATACTGGCTGATTAACATCCATGCACCTGTGCACAAGTACATTCACAGCGAACAGGGCTTCCCTCGTTATTATTATAAAATGAGATTTGGATCATCTTGCAATTAACAATGTCTTAACGGTATCAGCAATATATATTGAGGAATGTCTTCTATTTCTCTTTAGAAATATAAACCTGTTTGAAATAAGTACAGGGAAATTAAGTCTATTTGCCCAATTCACAGATTGACTGCGGCAGAAAAAGGTGCCAAATATGCTTGCATGAGATTTTTTAATATATTGTACCATGCCATTAGATTAATGCCAAAACTAACTGCGTATAAAAAAAGCTGTACATAAATTACTGTTACAGGTTGAACCCTACAAGGTAATTGTCTTTATGAATTCAAGATTATAACAGGATTTCTGTAATTTTTTTTGTTTTGATGTGTATTATGCTCTGCAATATATGTGTATGTCTTTGTATATATGTATGTACAATTTTCGAAATAAGGATTACTACTCTTCTCCTACTACTGCTTCTTTTTAAAAGTGTTTTATGGTATAACAAGACTAGTGTTGTAATATAACAATTATATTTCTTATTCCTTACATTCATGCTGATAATATGTATTATTAACTTTAAGTATATTTATTTTAGGATTTTCAAGACTTGAAAGAATGAAACACCATGCAAAAGTACACTCCTTCGAAAAACCAGACAATCCTGTATATTTCTCCTGTAGGCGTTGTGGAAGAGCCTTTACAAGTCGTTTGGAATATCGCTCCCATCTAAAAGAACACAAAACTGTTACGGAAAATTTAAATTATAAATGTACAATTTGTGATAAGATGTTTTCTTCTAAGTATGTGCTACAAAGCCATATGGCAATTCATGACGGAAAAAAGGATTTTTTGTGTACAATTTGCGGTAAAAACTTCCTGAAAAAGAGCTACTTGGATACACATTTGAAGATACACTCAGGGGAGAAACCGTATGAATGCAAGCAGTGTGGGAAAAAATTTCGGCAAGCAACACCATATAGCAATCACTTGGTGATCCATACAGGTAATTTTTTTAGCCTTTCGCTCATGCATTTTCATTTTTAAGAGTGTAGGCGCAAAATTTCGGGCAAAACTTTTTAAATGCATTCATTTTTTTCGAATCAAACTGAGAAAACTAACAAATATTTGTTAGTCTTGTTTTCAGGGACTTTCGGCCCTCGGTAATAATGTATTCTTTCATTCTGCGTTTAAATTTTTAAAAAATATTTATTAGTTTTCTCAGGATTCGAAAAAATTAATGCATTTAAAAAGCATTGGCCCGAAATTTTGCGCCTATGCTCTTAAAGAGAAAAATTTTATTTTTGTTGTAAAGGCTTTTTAACAATTAACTTGGCAAAGGGTTAATGTTGAATCTTAAAATCTAAAAATTGGTATGTTTGCTGTTTGGGCATCATACAAATGTTCTACAACAACAAAAAAATATGACATCTACATGTCAAAAATTTGGATTGTATACCAGAGTCTATATCGCCAAATAGACCGAAAAATAGCCTATCATACGTGGCCAAATTATGAAAAACAAGTAATATGAATAAGAATTATCAAAATTTAATCAAGAATATTTATTTATTAATGTGAACATCCACAAAACAATTCCTGTTTGAACACTAACACCTGCACTAAACATAGTCTAATATTACATGTATTAGAAAATATGGCAGTTTGTCCCTTCCTGCAATTTCTGCACCTACCCATTGCACCATATACTGGAAAATGATCTAGATGATCTAATGTGATATCATCTTGGGGTCTAGGCTTTACTGGGTTTTTAATTTTTTTGAAGGTAGTGGTAGCTGCTCATTGCTGGGATGTTCTCTTTTTATTTTGTCAATAAAAAGCAGTAGACTTTTGGTCAGTTTAATTCTAAATTGTTTCAAAGGAATGACTGTTTTTTTATCTTCTTGTAGAATGCTTGCATTACGTTTACATAGTAGCCAAACATTTGAGAAAAATTTGAGAAAAAAGGCACATATACCATCTTGTATGTGTTTTGAAGCATATTCTACATAGAGCAATCAACATGTCTACCAAATCCACACCAGCCATATGACTGTTGTAGTGTTTCCTGTTTTCCTGTGTTCCATTTTGGAGGATCTTTGTATGGTTGCCATTGGAATTGAGCCTACTCTAACCACTCTCTAGTCTTTATCTTACATTTCCCCATTCTTTATTCCAGAGTATTCACATATTTTCATCTATATTCACCTTCAACCATAAATAACACATTAATTATTCCACATGGACAATATTTAGATTTTGAGAACGATTTCCGAATTGGAAATTGAAACGTCAATAAACGTATTTTTATCTTTAATTGTGGCTTATTCCCAGTTATAAATAATAATTAATTTAGCTTCTAATTCAGAACTTTTCCAATACATGGACCTACCATTCAGAAAAAGTGAACCAAAGAAATTCATCTGTCCAGAGAAGTTCCCGCAGGAAAATACAGAAACCGACGACTGCATCAATTAAATCCTTTAAATTATCCAATGATGCCGCCAATGTCAAAACTTGCCGATCACAATTAGCACGACAATTATCCAAAAAGTATTGGAAGCTCACTATATTACTATTTTCCCAAAAGCTACTAAAATCTCCACCCACTGTTCTAGGATGTGAGTTCAGAACCAACAACGAAGTTTACATCAACTCCAAAGCAACAATAAAAGAAGAACCGTTAACCCTGCCAAAAATAAAAATTAATGCAGTGGGATCTGGTACGATAAATACGGCATGCCCATTTTTGCTAACAGAGATATCAACATCTTCCTTCTAATATTGTTTACTATCACCAACTTCCAATAACTTTTAAAAATTTTTACACTTTTCTTCTTTTTTAGGAGAACGTTTATATAAATGTCAGCATTGTGAAAAAAGTTTCAAGCAGAAACCACATCTTACAAGACATGAAATGCTTCATACCGGAGAAAAACCCTATAAATGTTCGTATTGTAACCGAAGTTTTTCACAGAGCGGCAATTTGAAGTCACATATCAGAACCCATACAGGAGAGACACCATATTATTGTACGATTTGTTCAAGGGGATTTTATTTACTAGGAAGCATGAAAAAACATATGAAAGCGTCACATAAAATATTGTAAAATTAGTAACTAACGCAGAGTTTTTATGTTTTAGTACTTATTATTGGTTTTGTATCTTGCCTTATTTCTGTTCATTAAAACAAATATTTTATGTACTCTGTTTAATATTTACAGATATAGTCTAGTCATCAGAGACGAAAATGCCACTGAATGTCTAAAAATAGTATGAACAAGCTAAATTTTGCTGAGAATGTCAATGTCCCTACTTATTTATTAGGCGCACTTAGCAAATTCTAGTTTTCTGTGTACAAAACAAAAAATTTGAATACTTTTAGGCGTGTAGCAATGTGCTCCATCCTGCATAAATATCTTATGGCTGTTACGAAACCATTCTTTCACTTGTGGAACTAATCTTGTCTGCAAAATCCTTTTATATTGGTCTTGTTGCATGGTTCCCTCTACGACATACAAACGTCCCATACCTTTGCCACTAATCACCGAACATATCATTACTGAAGTGGGATGTTTACTTTTATTAATTACACACCCCTTTTCATATTTTCCCCCTGGACGTCTTCGGACACACTAGACCTGGTCATCCATAATTTGAAATGTGACTTCATCGCTGAAGCAAACCTGTGAATGTGAATAACAATTATATATTGTATTATATGGTAACCATTATACACATTTGGAAAATTTAAGACGGAACATAGTGATTTTTAATACAATTACTAAGATCCCCTGACCTGCAATTACTCAGTGTAAATTGAATATAACGTCGCGATGTCTAATAATTAATTCATTTGTTCGACTGGATTGCTGCTCCTTCGCGATTTCTAGTAGCGTATTCGGCAGGTGTACGTCGACACTGTTGCCTATCGTCCACTGATTTTCTGTGTTTTTGTGCAGATAATAACAATGATTTATTAATAACAATTTTTTTGTGTTCATTAGATATTATTTGAATTGGTTAGTGTATAGTTTAATATATTTATTATTTCAAATATTGTTGACAATTTAAAATTTAAAAGGATGTATATGATACATAAAAATGCCTTTATATAACCTTGATATGCCCTTTTCTTCTCATTATAACGCCATAAGCTGAAATAAAAGTAGTGTTTGTGTTTGGTAAGGTGCGCACGTGCCCAGCAGTCGAAAAATATCGACTGGAGAAGGAGTCCAGTCGAACAAATGAATTAATTATAAGACATCGCGACGTTATATTGAAATTTACACTGGGTAATTGCAGGACAGGGGATCTTAGTAATTGTATTTAAAATCCCTATGTTCGTGTTAAATTTTCCAATGTGTATATTGAAATAAAAATATATCGAAATAAAATTCTCACTCAAATCTCTTCAATAAAAAATATCTCATATAATGATTATCAAAATTTTGTTCTACGTACGTGAATCTTTAAAAATTAATGGTATATACAATATAAATTACAATTTCAAATCAAAATTGTTCTAAATCTCCTGATTAAAATATTACTCTTTTCTAAAGCAATTGTTAAAAAAATGTGATGTCAATAAAGAAAAACTGAGGAATAGTAAAACTATCTCTCTGGTGATGAGTTGTCCAAATCCTTGTTCCTTGTAGCCTACACTATCTATTCTTAGCAGTCCCCTAGGTAATCATCAATCTTACAACAAATTGTTGCGAGACTATCGTCTTTCAATGATCTTCAAATGCACGTATCGTTCAAATGATGCTAGCCACTTCCTCTCGATAAACTGAATCTCTCGTTCTGGCCTGAACAGTGACTCTTTGAATATAAGTGGAAAAATATAATTTACAATATTTTACTGGATCAGCTTCTGTCAAATACACTCACTCCTCGAAAACTCACAAACATCCACTTCTACTGCTTACTACCTCTCGGGAACCATCAGAGAACAATGACTGTTCGCCTTGCACACTTGGAAGACAACTGATTATCTTTTTCCTCAAAAATCTAGCTAAAACTCTCATTCTTACATACCTATCCCACGTTTTTCAATCTCCTCCAATCAAAACTCGTCATACGTATCGCCATCTCTTGATTTAGATAACAAACAACAATTTTACCTACAATTATAAATTTAATAAAAAACTATTAACATGCTAATCGGTTTCTAAAAATTCTTAAGAACTAACGGAGAAATATATTTTCCAAATATTATATTCTATTGTCTTATTCACTGTACAAGTCCATTTGGAAAACCCGCTCGCATTGTTCATGGCTTCACTAAGCTCACCCACGTCACTCGAATATATTTTACAAAGAAAATAATTTATGCATATCTTTCAATTTTGTTTACTACAGGTAATCCAGGATAATGGACTTTCATTTCTTCGAAATATCTTTTATAGTTTATTAGTTGAATTATTATATTTTGTTCTTTGAAATATATTAAAAGCAAACTAAATTATTTTTAATTTTACGTAGCGTAACAATATATATATATATATATATATATATATATATATATATATATATATTATAATATATATATATATATATATATTATATATAACCTAGAGCTAAGATTAATATTATTACTAAAATTAATATCAAACTCACCAGTCTTCCGAGTTGAACCGCGTCGATGTCCATTTTGCCAACCTTTCGGCATCCTCTCTGATGCCTTCCTCAGGGCTTCCATGGTCTCAGTCTCCCGAGCCCCAGACACTACTACACTGTTCACTATTCACGGCACAGTCACTATTGGGCACGGACAGTACACGGCACAGTAGTGACTGTGCCGTGAATAGTGAACAGTGTAGTAGTGTCTGGGGGCTCGGGAGACTGAGGGACCTCGGAAGCCCTGAGGAAGGCATCAGAGAGGATGCCGAAGCAAAATGGACATCGACGCGGTTCAACCCGGAAGCGGAAGACTGGTGAGTTTGATATTAATTTTAGTAATATATAATCTTTGCTCTAGGTTTTATTGTACTGAGTAGTACTGTTTGAATATATTATGTTCAAGATTTTTAAATATTTTAACTCTTAATCTTTATCTCCTGAAGAAGCTGACAAAAATCAGCGAAATATAGAGTCATAAAAGAAAAAAAGAGAGTTTTTTTAATAACAGACCGCATACCTGATACTCCAAAAACAATAAATTTGTATATATATATATATATATATATATTTATATATATATATATATATATATTTGAATAATAGAATTTATTTAATCAATATACAAAAATAGTTTTGTTTTTGACAAGTCAAAGGAATAGTGACAATACTTATAAAACATATATAATTTTTTTTTTTGGATAATTTAAACATTACAAACATGTATGTATTTAATATTAACAGTTAAAAAAAAACGACAAACACACTTTGTGGAATTATAAAAAAACATGAAATATAATTATAATAGGCAACTGCCCTGACCAAACTAGTACTATTGTGTAAAAGCTGTACTTAAGTACTCCGTTTTTGAATAGAAACAATGTTTCAAAAAGTGTGATTTGATTTTATGCTTAAATGATAACAAGTGAAGACTTTTTACTTCATCTGGCAAAAAGTTATACAAACTAACGTCAGTCGAATTTTTTACGCTCTTTGTCAACCTAAAACGTTGTGCTCTAATAGCATCTCTAGATCTTGTATCGTGATCATGGACGTTGGAGTTTACGTTAAACTTACCTTTGTTGGCATGAATTTCAATCAGCGTCTCATATATATAGAGTGAAGGTAGTGGCATAATACCTAAATCCAGAAATAAAGGTTTACAGTGTTCCCTATACTCTGCTCTTGCAAGTATCCTCACTACTCTTTTTTGTAATTTAAAAATTCGATCTGCGTAAGAAGAATTACCCCAAACAGTTATTCCGTACTGTAAATGGCTATGAAATAGTGCAAAGTAGCACATTCTAAGGGTATTTTTAGGAATCATATAAACTAAGTTGCGTATTAAAAATATACTTGTAGCAAGTCTAGAACTTAAGTAATCTATATGAGCACTCCAATCCAAATTATCGTCTATAAAGATTCCTAATAGTTTAACACTATTTCTTAAGATATACTTCCAATCAGAACTAAAAATCAAATTCTGATTTTTCTCTTCATTTAGCATTAGCCCATTATGTGAGAACCAGTTTTTTGCTTTCTTGGTATCACTATCTATTTTAATTTTTAAATTATTCTGATTAATATCAGTATTTATGAGAGTTGTATCATCTGCGAAGCAAAACACATTTTATAGGAAAAGTGTAGTGAAATAAATCGTTCAGATAAATAAGAAACAAAGTGGGTCCTAATATCGAACCTTGAGGTACACCATATTCGACAGTGTTAAACTCAGAATAGCTGTTATTAAGAAAAACTGCCTGTTTTCTATTTGTTAGGTATGATCTAAATAGATTAAGAGTGTTTCCCCTAATACCGTACTTATGCATTTTTTCCAACAGTAATTCATGCGAAACACAGTCAAAAGCTTTGGATAAGTCACACAATGTCAAAGACACAAAATGACCTTCCTCCAAGCCATCAACTATATCTCTCACAATTTTCTGTATAGCTAGTGTAGTGCTACACTTTTTTCTAAAGCCATATTGGTTACAGTGAAGTATTTTGTGTTTTTCTAGATATTCTACCAAACGAACATTTAGAATACTCTCAAAAATTTTGCCGAAAATGGGAATGATTGAGATGGGACGGTAATTTCCAATTTCATCTAAAGCTCCCTTTTTGAACACTGGTAGCACTTTTGTTACTTTTAAAACATCTGGGAAAATCCCTCAGTAAGACAATTATTATAAAGTATAATTAATTTGTCAATAATAATATCGATTGTTTCCACAATTATTTTTTTGTTTAAGAAATAAAAATCCGTGCAGTGTGAATTTTTCAATCTATGCAAATACATTCCTGATTTCAGTATCACTAACAGGTAATAAAAAATAAAGAGTTGCAAGGAGAGTGTACATCTTTCAAAAAATCTATTGGCTACATTTTCATTTGTAGATTAAAATGAACTTCTAATATATTTAGCCACTGAAGTAAAGTAATTATTGAAATCGTTTGATGTAATCGCGCTTGGACAGACTTGGAAAATGGAAAATTAATTTCAGTTAATATATAATATTAAATATATATACAAAAGGAACATTTTTATTCTCGATAGAGAAAGAGAGAG